TTGCGTTATTTGCCGTTTTGTTAGCATACACTGCGGCAACCCCACAAACACCAGGAACACCAGTTAGTTTTGATCAAGACTGATTGAACTTAGCTCGATGATTGATTATTAAATTAAAGTAAAAAGCTAATGGAGGAGATCGATGGCGCCAGTGGTTAGCGCGTTCGGCTGCGGTCGTTGAAGCTGAGCAACTTTCGCAGTGGTCGGTCATTGGATGGGTGACCAAAAATTTACTATCTCGAGCTTCTCAGTGCTTCCTTCCTTCCTTCGTGCATGAACCCTCTAGTAGCTTATATTCAAAAGATTTGGGCGCGACCAAAAGTCATGACCGTTTGTTGAAATTTTGTTTTTGCTGCCCTAGACGTTCGGCCCTACATAGAGGGCTCAGGTATGGTGGGAGTACTTAAATACGTGCAAGGTGGCTCCCCATACGTTATTCTGCCGCGCTCGAGTAAATCCAAAAATCCCCGCTTGGGCTCCCCTACTATTAGAAATGACGTCATGAGCTCGAACTAGTGTTGCCGACCGATAGTCGACTATCGATGATTAATCGATGTTTAATCGATAGTCTATCGATAGCCAACCAATCGTACGACAATCGATTGGCTTATCGATAGTATCGATACTATCAATCAATAGTATCGATACTATCGATAGCACAGAAAAAGCCAATACTATCGGATGAGTTAAATAGTATCGATACTGTCGATTTTATTTGCAACCATACTATCGATAGTTTAACAATTTGCAATAGTATTGTTTACAATTTTCAGGTATTATAGTCAATCACAAACTTTAGTCTAGAACAATCGCTAGTGTCGATACTATCGATAGTATTGTTGCAGATTAAATCAACACTATCGATAGTATCGATACTATCAATAGTTTGTTATTAACGAAGTACAATAGTATCGATAGTATTGCACTCATTCGATAGTATTGCCTTGTTCTGAGCTATCGATAATATCGATACTATCGGTAGTATCGATTCTATCGATAGGCCTATCGATAGGGTACATGATTTTCGATGTAAACTGTCGATAGTTTTAATATCGATAGTTCGGCAACACTAGCTCGCACCAGAATGTCATTTACACAATTTTTTAATGATAAGTGAAATAAAACCAAAACTTCTTTTATATATATAATATATAATTATTTAACATATAACATACATTATACACTAATACTAGAAACATGCACTTTCAGCAATCTTATTATAACAGTCACTTAATGCTACACTCACAAACGGCAATCAACCAACAAATTAAGTTAATTGACGATTCTGAGGGCAGTAATTAAACATCTTAAAAGTATGTACAGGCAGTCCTCGTACTTACGGCATGTTAGGTTCCCAAAATGTGCGACGTTAGTCGAAACGACGTAAGTCGAGACATCCCCACGGAAGCCAGCCCTAACATTAACCTTGCGACAAAAAGTGAATTCTCCTATGCCGGAAATCGAAACATTTGACGTATGCTTGAGGAATAGTGTCCTAACATTGTTCGACGTAACTTGAAGCGACGTAAATCGAAACGAGACGTAAGTCGAGGACTGCATATATAACATTTCAATAGAAATAATACTCCGCATAAAAGCGCGTCGGTAACGTCTTAATTAAGTAAGAACTATAAATTTTTCAAAAAAAACACTAATTCCTACAGATTTGGCAAAGGTATAAAAAAATCATCATGTGGCTATTTACGTCCCCACTGTTGCGGCCTTACAATAATAATTTACATCGAAGCAACGCTAAAATAAGAGGCGCTCAACGGCGCAAGTGGTTAGCGCGTTCGGCTGCGATCGTTGAAGTTAAGCAACTTTCGCAGTGGTCGGTCATTGGATGGGTGACCAAAAATCTATTATCTCGAGTTCCTCCGTGTTATATACTGTGACGGATTTTACACGCCGACGTGTTATCTATAGTATTGTCGATCGAAGGGTTTACTATAACACTTAAATGATTGTACTTTCGAGATTAGGATAAAAGGTTTAATTAATTATCATATCGGGAACTACGAAATTTAATAATACATAATATAAAAATATAACATCTTAGATTAAAACAAAAAGGGAAGATACGGCACTCGCAGCTCAAAAGCGATTCGCTTAAATTGTGGTGCACGACCACAATTCGCTTTAGTCCCAATTGGACATTCAAACACGCTGCATGTGCACTCAATATAACAATATTGCGTATATTCTGTGTTATAAAGATAAAACAATGCCTTGGATGCTTTTATAAAGAACACAAATAGTTCAAAATCAAATAACAAATGCCTCGGCAACACTTTTCATTCGTAAAACTGTAAAAACATTTTTTTCTCAAAAATCACGGCGTAATCGCCATTTTGTTATCAAGAAAAGGACAACATTACAGCTCAGACTCGCCGTTTCGCTCGCGCTGCGTTGAAGCCTACAGTTCCGTCTCGCTCGCTCGATTGAATGTTTATATACAGACGTGTGCGTGTGTGAGAGTTGCTTATGTAGTTGAGTCGGATTATATTTTATTTGATGCTAGTATGAGCGTACCGTGTCTTCCCTTTTTGTTTTAATCTAATTAGAACATGCATTTACATTGGTCCTAACTCTAGACTAACCTAAAATGTAAAAATAAATTGCAACTCTGTTGCATATTTTAGAAGAATATTCTTTAGTTATAATTTTTATTATTTTAAAGCATGTAACTGCTTGATGTTTAAATCTAAAGAAAATATAACTAGAAAAAAAGCTTAAGAATGGCTAGAAGAATTTCGACGCGGTCCGTGGTAGCATAATTGGTCAGTGCATGCGCTCGGATTGCGAAGGGTGCGAGTTCGAGGCCCGTCTGCTGCCTGGTCCGCGTGGATTTTGTTCTAGTTACATTTTCTTTAGAATATTCTTTGATCTTGTTTTTGAACATTTCTTTTTAAGGCACGAAAGGTTTCGGTTTTAAAGTGATATTGGATCTGAGACCTTATTGGCATCAGCTTACAATCTCGTCTATCATATCATTTAACTTCAAACTGTGTCATTTAAAACTTTGATTTAGTGTACCCGATGACTAGGTGAAGATTTATTTAAAAATACTAGCTGTGGCCGCGACTTCGTTCGCGTATTTGTAGGTTTTTTTTTTATTGAAGAATAATTTTTCATCCTTCATTCTTTCCCTTCAACCACAGCTAGTATCCAATGAACAACTGATACACTAAAAAACCAGGGGCTCCCTAACTTTTTAAGAATATTAAAACAGATAGCATTTTATTAATAAAAAAATAAATGAAACTAGTTTTTACAGAATAATTATTCTGACGATGCAGACCTGAAAAGGCTGCGAAACGTCAATGTATAAATAAAGTTCGTGCATTAACCCGTAAAAACTAGTTTTATTTAATGAGTGGTGTGCGTGAAAACCTAAGAAAAAAATAAAAAATTAAATGATTTGTGTAAGTCTATTTATTTACAATATTGCACTCAAAAGGAAGCAGTTACCTTTGATAATTTGATATTTAAACATTTATTTACAATGTTCGTTTCGTTTTTTTTTTTTTTTTTATTATTTAATAATAACATAATGAATGCTGTCGTTATTTAAATCGCCATTTGAAGTTGGCTAATCTTTCTAGTTACATTTTTATTTTTTAAGCATTTTAACTGCTTGTTGTCTAAAGAAAATATTGCAGAGTGGGATTTTTTGTAGTAACCTTTTTTTTACATTTAAATATCTTTCAAGTGTAATATTCATAAGAATTAAAGCTACAGAATTGGGAGCATTGAATTCTGCAATAATAATAAATACCATTTATATTCCTCTTGGAGTTACAGCTTAAAAATCCAATATTTTAAACAGAAATTGTGGGATGCTGGTACCTAATATAGGCAGTTTCCTACCTGTTGGCAATATTAGCTACAATTAGTTTTTAATTCGTAACACGAAACTAAATCTTAAAACTAATACAATGCAAAGTAACATTATTAATTAATAAAATAATTGTTTAAATTCTTATAGCTAGCTGCCTGTATCATATTTAATTTATATTTTAAACGCGTCCTTGCGTTTCGACATTATCTGTCAATGTAGAAAAGAATTCGACAATTCTGTCGTTACAATTTACTTGCATCGGCGTTTTTGATATTTTTAACATCATATTTAGTTTTTAATAAAGCAATACTGTGGGCCAATCGCCTAACGGGATTGCTATGGCTATCGCTATCCCTTGAGATTTCGTTTTGTTATTTCTGACCGCCTTAGGTTTTCGAATACCCGACGCTCATTTTCTTTAATATTGTTATATCCAAAGCAAATGAAAACAATGTGAAATCGATAGCGATAGCCTTAGCAATCCTGCTAGGCGATTGGCCCCCTGGTTAGATCATGTTTTAAACATATTTTTATACAATGATGCAATCAAAATGGTGAGATATGCTCTATAAAACAACTTAATGAAAAATACTTATTTTTTTACTGCGCATGCATATTTAGATATTAATGTTTATAAAAACATAACAATTATTAACATAAAACTGAGAATTACCTTAATAGCTACCATATAGGTTTAAAAATATTTTAATTATTTTATGCAAAATATCGTAAAATTACAAATTAACAAAAACAAAGCTTAATTACTAAATCCATACCGTACTAACTAAATATCATATCCGTAGTCAGAATTTATTCAGATCGGACATTTTATATAATAAAGTGCAATTATTGTGTTAGTAATTGTATGAGATGAATGGTTAGTACGAATGAAACTTTAATAATATATTGGGTGTCGATATGGCACGATTCTCTTAACTTGAAATTAAATTTAACATCAGGCTGTCCTTTTCATTCTGTATAGAGAATGACAGAGATACACCGTTGTGAAATTTAAGTTTAGCTTTAGAGAATCGTGCCGGAATCGACACCCAATAGTGTCGATTCTGGCAAGATTCTCTAAACTTTGAAACTAAATTTAACATCAGTATTTCCTTTCCAAGACATTAAATCTTGTTAAATTATACTTTTAATGTTGTGGAGATAAATCATCTAAGGAGTGGTAGGGGAAAAATTTTTTGGGACAATTTAAAATAGTTGTACTATACATCCAATATGAATAAAGATATATTGATTTCTGATTTCAAGGTTAGACTGTTGTCAAATTTAAGTTTAGGTTTAGAAGAATCATGTCAATTTCAACACCATTTTCCCTTTTTCCAATAATCTTTTCCATGATCATTACCAATAATACTTCAATCTCGATAAAAACTCACTTTCAACAGTCGCTATGGAGTCGAGAGTTCGTAGTAAGATAAGGACCAAAGACACGACGGGATGTCAAAAAAAAATCATATAAAAAGTCAATTCCTTGTCATTCAAAAACATCAGTATTTCACATATTTAAGTTTACAACATAATGTGAATGATGCAATTAAATTCTTCAAAGTTGAGTATTATTCATAATATAAGGAAGACTAGAACAGGTTTTTAAAACATTTCTTTTTTCATTCCGAAAAACAAAGAATCTCATACTGGGGAGGCAAAGGATGCATTAATCCTTAAAGCCAAGTCATCAGTATTTTCTCCATTTTTTTTGTATTAGAATACGAAATCTGACACGCATTCTATGATACGATTTTTTTTATAGTCAGAGCAAATCAAAGAAGAGGATAATTAACAGATAATTCACGACCTTCGGGGCCGAGTGGTGTATACGCCGGGTTTCAAGGTGTCGCCTACTCGTGAGGTCTCCCGGGTTGGAATCCCGGTGGGGGAAATGTTATGAATGTCTGATGAATACAATAACAATTTCAGGTCGTTTCAATAACAATTTCAGGTCATTTCCATAACAATTTAAGGTCATTACACAACAATTTAAGGTCGTTTCAAAAACAATTTCAGGTCGGTTCAATAACAATTTCAGGTAGATTTAACGACAATTTCGCATTCAATTACTAGTAGCGCTCAACAGTAAAGCGTTGGCTTCCTCTATACGTTCTAATCTGTAAGTAGAATTGTCCGGTAGATGTCGTACCAGTTCGTCAGTTAAACGAACCCTGGCACCGTTTGGTCCGGAGACCAGCACTGTTTCGCAATCCTGTTTGGGGGAAAAAAACTACGGTATAATATTACATAAAATTAAATTTTACAGGAGGTGTGTATAAAACTGAATGACATACCTAGAGTGAGCTTTTGGGATGGTTTTTAATTTATAAATTTCGTAATTTTAACACTGTTTTAGGCGGTTTTGATTGAAAATTATTTGAGATTCAAATTGTACGGGCCCGAAACCTCAGGACTGTATAAAAAGTAGTTTGACCGTTATTATGCCGTTTTGATTGGTCATTGACATTATAGTCATTTATGTTCTTAACGGAATTGCACAAGAGGCGCGCCCCTACAATAGAGATAAAAAGACCCGGCCAAGTGCGAGGAGCTCGATGGCGCAGGTGATTAGCGCGTTCGGCTGCGATCGTTGAAGTTAAGCAACTTTCGCAGTGGTCAGTCATTGGATGGGTGACCACAACAATCTTTTATCTCGAGCTCCTCCGTGCTTCGGAAGGCATGTCAAGCCGTTAGTTCCGGCTGCATCTGCAGTCGTTAGCACCCACCAATCCGCACTGGGCCCGCGTGGTGGGTCATGGCCTAAGCTCCCAATTCCCTCCATAGGGTAGGCCTATGCGTCAGCATTAATAGGCTGATGATGATGATGCAGTGCGAGTCGGACTGGCGGACGAAAGGTTCCGTACCATTATATATTCAACATGGTAGCAATCCCGTTAATAACTTAAATTACAAAAAACCTGGTTCAGTGGTTGAATAGGGGTGATGACGGGGTACAGTAAACGATATCTATTTATTCCGTCAGTTAGATGATCAAAAAATAATGGACACGTATTTTTTCTTTGGGCAATCAACCAAAAAATGACAAAGTTATAGCGCGTCAAAGTTTGGGAGTAGGGGCTCGTGACGTCACTTTTAAGTGAAAATTGTACCAAAACGTGACGTCATGCGACTTTTCAAATCAATATATCTCTGCAATGTTTATATTATGTGAAAAAAGATAAAAATACGTGTCCAATACTTTTTGATAATCTACCTGATAAACGAAGAAAAAAAAATTGTCATCATCCCTATTGTGTGAAGGAATTTCCATCAGACTTAAGTTCTAAAATTCATAAACGAAATAGTATTTCTCGCATTAAAATCAATAAAAGATAAACAAATTTCGCCCCGGAGCGGATCCCTAATAATAAAAATGAAAAATGAGGTTGTCTGTTACTCAAAAACTACTGAATGTATTTGGATGAAATTCGGTAGGCACATAGTTTATGACCTGGATTGAGACACAGGATACCTTTCATCCCGAAAAAATATAGGTTCCAGAGGGATTCCCAAAAAACTATAATCAACGCGGACAAAGTCGCGGGCGGCCAATAATCATGAATAAATAAATAAATATGACAGCTCACCTTTCCACAGTTGTCCAGCAGCTTGTGCAGCTTATGTAGCAACTCTCTTGCACGGCAAGCGTGTAGATATAGCACGCTGTATATGTCACTGGTAGCCGGACAAACATATATGGTGAGTCGGGGCTCTATGCGTCTGTGGGAAAAGATGAAAAAAAAAAACCGTTACATTTTGGCAAATCACAATTTAACTAATTGTGATTTTTTTGAAGTTATACTTCTTTAGGCGCGTTATGAAAAAATGATGAGAGTGAAATTTTAAGATGCGCGCGCATCACTGTAACACAAAATATTAACAGCATGAAGTTGGTCGCTTTAGCGACCAACTTCATGCGTTACTTTTGTGTTTACCGCAAATTAAGAAAATCTACCAACAAAATAGAATCTCTATTTAGTGGGTGCTAACGACTGCATTGTGAAGGCCTATCAAAAGTATTTATTAATCTGGAACAACGGAACCAAAGCGCGATTCAGGAGACTACAGCGCCATCTCTTGACCATTGGTGTAGTAGAACCAAAAACCACATCTTTATTTTTTGTAAATAAAGTAACAGTTATAGGTATTCATATTTATAATATTTATCCACATGTTTCTAGTTTGTATATTCGGAATACGTGTTTGAGTTTCATACAAGTGCAAATCACATATGTTCTAATAAATTATATTCAGTAGCGATTTTAATTGAATATTTTGATTATTTATTTATTTTTTCAAATTAAAACTGAACTTTATTGACTGTGTCCTTTTCCAGATTTTTTATTAATTTATTGTAATTAATTATTTGCATGCAATTAAAAACTAATTTTAAACGATGCCAAAGAAGGATAACTTCTCACGCGCCTACATAAGTACACGCACCCATTTTTTTTAAGTATTCATATAACTACTAGATGTTTAAATCTAAAGAAAATTTTACTAGAAAAATACCACGCGGGCCAGGCAGCAGACGGGACTCGGACGGAAATGAATTGAAAAATTTATTTGTGATATAACTTACTTTGAATGCAAAGCGTTGAATAAACGTATCCCATCGGCCAATCCGCATATCTGGATTATGTCGTCCCGAGACAATCTGTACGAGAATGAAAATGAAAATTATTAAATGTTACAATTGAACTTGCAGTATTAAGCTCTTCCGTATGCATTGTGAAACTAAATATTATTTTAAAATGTGAAGTAAATGCTTTGTGTATTATAACTACTATCCAGCCTGTTAACAATAATATAAATGAAAATCCTAAAATCTACTGCATCGCTAACTTCGATACTGTATGAAACAATACAGGGAGAAAAAAGCAGCCCTTGCTAAGTTTTTGCCGGTTCTTCTCAGTACAGTCTCCCGCCGTATACTTGCAAACCGATGGCGTAGCTCTCGATAGCTTGTAAAAGCCTCAACTGAATAAATGAATATTGATTTTGTAAGGGCATGATAACTCTTTTCCTCACTATGTTAGTCTTTAAACACAAAGTTAATAAATACTACGAAACGTCGATAAATAAATAAAGTTTCGTGCATTAACCCGTAAAAACTAGTTTTATTTAATGAGTGATGTGCGTGAAAACCTAAGAAACAAATACAAAGTTAATTGTGGCGAGAGAGTAGAAACCATAAAACTCTGTTAATTGAATGTTTATTTACAGAAGTGTGCGTGTGTGATATCTTAGTTGAGTCAGAGTCAGAGCATATTTTGTATGATGCTAGTATAAGCGCACATTATCTTAACGACCTCCGTGGCCGAGTGGTTTGTACGCCGGGTTTCATGGTGTCACCGACTCGAGAGGTCCCGGGTTCGAATCCCGGTGGGGGCAGATGTTTGTGTGATGAATACGAGCATTTGTACTCCAGTCATGGATGTTTAATATGTATTTCTATATAAATATACTTATATATGTACAATATATGTATTCTATCCGTTACCCTAGTATCCCATAACACAAGCCTAACAGTGCTTACTTTGGGGCTAGGCTAATTGGTGTGTGTTGGTAAAAAAAAAAAAACTTCCCTTTTTGTTTTAACCAAAGGTGAATACAATATAATATACCTGAGTAGATCAGCACCCGAGAAGTTGGCGAATGTGGCCGCGTGCTGAGTGAAACGGTGACGAGAGAGCCACGCTTGCGTTTCGCTTGCGCACGCCTCTTTGGACAACCCATAGTTCTGTGGAAGCAATGTTTGAGTTAAATAAACAGATATATTCAAGTGAAAACTTCTTTAGCGGCGTTGCACACTTTTTTTATGAAATACTAGCGGTCCGCCCTCGCTTCGCTTTGGTGTAGAGCTGAAGTGTAGACTACAGTTTTTGTTCTCAGGCTTGTATACACAATGACATTCATCTATGATTCTTCCTATACCTGCATGCAAAGTCCCAGCCCGATCGGTTTAAAATTGACAAAGTTTCATACAAACTTTCATTCCCTATTTTATCCCCTTGGGGTTAGAATTGATCAAAATCCTTTCTTAGCGGATGCCTACGTCATAACATCTACCTGCATGCCAAATTTCAGCCCGATCGGTCCAGTGGTTTGGGCTGTGCGTTAATAGATTTACCTTTGAGTTTTATATATATAGACAATAGTGAAATACATAAACTTACTACGAGAAGTAAAAATAATTTAGTTTTGTGGAGCCTAGTAGCAGGCTCCACAAAATCATTAATTCGTTTAGAGGTCTTTGTGTTCGCTTTTTCAAGACTTATGCCTGACTAAATTTAAATCGACCATTAAAAAATCACAAGAAAGCTATTAAAGTGTCTGATTATATTACAGACAAAAATGCTTGGGTATGAACTGTTCCAAACATTTCAACGGGTATTTCTATATGATATATATATTATGTGTTGACTATACTATAATTAAATTTGAAAGCTGTATATATAGTTGATAACTTAAGGAAGATTATTAGACTGTTTAAGAATGACAAAACGGCGTGGTCGTGATTTCTCCATTGCTTTTCTTTTGTAATTGTTTGCGGTGTCCTACAGATAAATGACTAATTTAAGTAAATAATGTTGTAGTTAGTATGGGTAGTCATGCTCTCTTAATAGTCTCTTCGGTGGTGTCGTGTGAGGCGGGTCGTTACGTTCCCTAAATATGCTTGAACGAAGCGATGGCTGGTTCATGCGTCATGCTCGTGAACGGGTGCTGCCAGCGGAGATGAGTCCGCCCTAACTTCCTTGATATTGAAGTTAATGTTTAGTTACACTTAATATAAATAACACTATTTGTATTTATACTGTATGACACAGCAATCAAAATGCTGGTAAACAATTAATGTATATTTAATCATTATAACAGAGCTTAGCTAACTTTGGGGCTAGGCTAATTGGTGCGAATGTTGGAAATATTTATTTATATTTTTATTAATTATAGACATGTGAGTTAAGTTTTCAGTCAAGATTGAGTTGTGCCTTTCTGCGACTCACCTTATCCGGTTCTTCGGCAGGTTGTGGCAGATCAGGCAAGATGGCGCCGGGCGAATGGCACGGCGGCGAGTTTACTTTCATATCCGGTGCACTGTTGAAATTATTCATTACAAACGAATAAATAAAGGATTTTTATCATAGACAGCCCAGCGAATTAACCTTCCCAACCTGATGTTAAGTTATAATAGGAGCGATGACGGAGTAAATAGGGTATTTGACAAGTTTTAGAAATCGATCTCATGTTATTGACTAATCTTTTTCGTGGGTTTTTAGTAAAATTATGAATATTTTTTTTGAAGTTATACTTCTTTAGGCGCGTTATGAAAAAATGATGAGAGTGAAATTTTAAGATGCGCGCGCATCACTGTAACACAAAATTTTAACAGCATGAAGTTGGTCGCTTTAGCGACCGCACATTAAGAAAATCTACCAACAAAATAGAAATAGAATCTCTATTTAGTGGGTGCTAACGACTACATTGTGAAGGCCTATCAAAAGTCTTTATTAATCTGGAACAACGGAACCAAAGCGCGATTCAGGAGACTACAGCGCCATCTCTTGACCATTGGTGTAGTAGAACCAAAAACCACATCTTTATTTTTTGTTATAAAGTAACAGTTATAGGTGGTGTAGTAGAACCAAAAACCACATCTTTATTTTTTGTTATAAAGTAACAGTTATAGGTATTCATATTTATAATATTTATCCACAAGTTTCTAGTTTGTATATTCGGAATACGTGTTTGAGTTTCATACCGTTTTATCCGTGCGGTGACGGAGAAAGAATACAACTCACCGCCCCTTCTCTTCCCGTGGGTGTCGTAAGAGGCGACTAAGGGATATCGGAGCTTCCATCCGCTCTGCTGGTGGTAGGGTGCCTAACACCCGCCTGGTTTGTTACCACCGTGCGCATGGTGAAAAACCCGTGAAGTGCTTCTCGCGCGTTTCGGGGTCAGCCAGCGTACAACCAGGGCTCGAGTGGAGGTTGTCGCGACGGATTCGGTCCAGGGCTAGGCATCCGTGGAACCAATGCCGGGAGGACTGCATCGACCCGCCGGCCAGGGAGACCCGTAGAAACGGCTGTCCCGCTGGCCGCCCGTGGCACAGTACAGGGGCCCGAGCGTTCCTAACCAGTTCGCGAGGCTGCCCCATCATGTCACGCATAATCTCGGGGTGGACCGTCGTGCCGGTTGGTGACCGGGGCGTGGGGTCCCGGCGGCCACTTCCGGGGGGGTGCGGGGGCCCTTCCGTCCGGCGGGTCGGCGTATATCCTCTGCAGGCAATCATTCGGGGAAACATGCCTCCCTAATTTGCCCGGTCTTGTCGCGACAACGTCCACTCGTTTCACGTCTCTTTTTCATTTCCATAATGGCAGCTCCTAAAACAAAGTTTGGACGTTCAGCGGTGCACACCCCCACGCCTTCAACGCTGTTTGAGGTCGAGTTCTGCAACATACGCGGACTCCACTCTAACCTCAACGCTGTCCACCACCATCTTGAGACAGCACGGCCAGCATTGTTGTTCCTGACGGAGACACAAATACTTCCGCCTGCTGACACAGGCTACCTTAATTATCCCGGCTACGTGCTTGAAGAGTCCTTCAAAGCGAAAGCCGGTGTATGCCTGTATGTTCGGGCGGATGTTTGTTGTCGCCGTCTCCGCTGCTTGGAAGATCCCTCCTTCTCCATGCTGGGGGTACACGTCGACTCTGGCCCCCTGGCCAGAGTTTACGTGTGTCTCTACAGATCCCACACCGGCGATGTTGAGACAACTCGACTTTTTGAACACCTTAGTCGGGCAGCAGATGACGCGCAGGAACAATTTCCCAATGCAGAATTGGTGTTTTTGGGGGACTTTAATGCTCACCACAATTTGTGGTTAAGTTCCTCCAAAACTGACCATGCAGGGATCTCTGCTCACGCATTCGCTCTCACGCATGACTTGAAGCAACTGGTTGATCAGCCCACCAGGATCCCAGATATTCCAAGTCAAGCGCCTTCTTTACTGGACCTTCTGCTCACGACCCATCCACAGGGCTATCAGGTTGTGGTAAGAGCCCCCCTGGGCTCGTCAGACCACTGCCTGATATCTGCCAAAGCACCACAGGCCAAGCCTCGGCGTCCAGCAGTGGTCAGGCGCCGTATCTGGCATTATGGGTCGGCAGATTGGGACGGTATGCGTGACTACTTTGCGTCCGTCCCTTGGAAGCAGCGCTGCTTCAGTGACAGGGACCTATCGGCCAGTGCCGTTGCCATTACTGAGGAGATTATAATGGGTATGGAATACTATATTCCTCATTCTGATCTCATCAGTAAGGGCACGCGTAACCTCTGGTTCAATCACGACTGTGCTGAAGCTGCTTCGCGTAAGCAAGCGGCATATCGTGCTTGGATCAGAGGTCGCGCTCTCAAGGATCCCGAGGTCGATTCACTCAAAGCAGCCTACAATTTTGCTTCCAAGGCCTGTAAGAAGGCTTACATTAGAGCGGATGCCCAGCGCGTTGCACGTGTTGGCCAGGAACTTATGACGCATCCTACGGGTTCCCGTAGCTACTGGCGTCTGGCCAAGGCCGTGCAAAAAAACTTCTGCGAGCCCTCGCTGCCACCTCTGAGATGCCCAGACGGAACACTAGCCCATAAGCCGCAGGAGAAAGCCGATTTACTGGCAAAACTCTTTGCGGCTAACTCCCGAATCGATGATTGCAATGCACTGCCACCATCATTACCTCACTGTGGCACAACGATGCCTGATATTAAAATCAGGCAGCGCGAGGTTCGTGCCGAATTGCAATCACTCGACGTCCGGAAAGCTAGTGGACCTGATGGCATCCCAGCAGTAGTACTCAAAAAATGTGCAGCGGAGTTGTCTCCCGTGCTCACGCGCTTGTACCAATGCTCGTATTCTTTGGGGCGTGTGCCGGAGACTTGGAGAGATGCCAATGTGCAACCGGTGCCCAAAAAAGGGGATCGCTCAGACCCGGCAAACTACCGGCCAATAGCAGTCACCTCAGTTTTATGTAAAGTTTTAGAAAAGGTCCTTAATAACCATCTGACCCGCTACCTAGAGGATCACTCCTTGATTAATGATCGTCAATATGGTTTTAGACCGAAACGATCGACGGGTGATCTTCTAGCGTACTTAACTCATATCTGGGGTGAGGCTATCGACAAGCGTGGCGAGTCGTTGGCTATCAGCCTTGACATTGCCAAGGCGTTTGACAGGGTCTGGCACAAAAGCCTTCTCTCCAAGCTTCCGGCATACGGTCTGCCAGCCCAGTTCTGTTCTTGGGTAGCTGACTTCCTGCATGAGCGTAGAATTCGTGTCCTTACGGATGGTAGCAGTTCGCGGTTCATGTCAGTGAATGCCGGCGTTCCCCAGGGCTCCGTCCTATCCCCCACTCTCTTTCTGCTGCATATCAATGACTTAATTCCTCTTGGGAATATTCATTGCTATGCAGACGATAGTACAGTGCATGCGGGGTATCTCGGACAAGCAGCGGCTGGGCTGGCGGTAACCAAGGAGAAACGCGAGAATCTTGTCATTGAACTCAATCAGGCTTTGGACCACATTTCCGAATGGGGTACCAGGAACTTGGTTGAGTTCAATGCCAAAAAAACTCAGGCTTGCGCTTTCACGGCAAAAACATCGTCATTCCTTCCTCTTCCATCTCTTCAGGGCACAACACTACCGCTGCAGAGCAACATTTCCATGCTCGGTATGGAAGTTCGCTCAGACCTGAATCCAAAGAACTACATCGAAACCGTGATCAAAACAGCTTCACGCAAACTCGGAGTCCTGAACAAGGTGCGGCGTTTTTTCACGCCCGATCAACTGTGCTTGTTGTACAAAACGCAAGTGCGGTCCTGCGTGGAATATTGCTCGCACCTCTGGGATGGCTCCGCCAAGTACTTGCTCGATGCTTTGGATAGGTTACAGCGACGCGCGATCCGCATCATAGGCGATGAGGAGGTGACTAAACACCTTGAGCCTCTTCAATTACGCCGTGACGTGGCGTCACTAAGCGCGTTCTATCGTCTGTACCACGGCGAGTGTTCTGAGGAGTTATTCTCTCTTATCCCACCTTCTCCTTTCCTTCAGAGGACCACGCGCGCTGGCCTGCGTTGTCATCGTCTAACTGTGGCCACAATTCCAACGCGTACAAAGAAATTTGGTGACTCATTTCTTTGTCGCACTATCCGTAAATGGAATGCTCTGCCCGCTCACGTGTTCCCTCCCTCTTACAACCTGGGATCCTTTAAAAGAGGCGTGAAGAAGCAACATGCAGGCCGGCAGGGTGAAGATGGCTGGTGTGGCAGGTAAAACTGCTGTATCAGCTATCGTCACGTCTGGACTTCACCTTCACTTAACATCAGGTGGGGTGGAGTCATTTGTCGGACCTATCTATAAAAAAAAAAAAAAAAAAAATACAAGTGCAAATCACATATGTTCTAATAAATTATATTCAGTAGCGATTTTAATTGAATATTTTGATTATTTATTTATTTTTTCAAATTAAAACTGAACTTTATTGACTGTGTCCTTTTCCAGACTTTTTATTAATTTATTGTAATTAATTATTTGCATGCAATTAAAAACTAATTTTAAACGATGCCAAAGAAGGATAACTTCTCACGAGCCTACATAAGTACACGCACCCATTTTTTTGTAAATATTTACATATTTTTTTACTATTTAGTAAAAACCCTTGCCAATATCCATTCTAAACACAGATGCTAACAATTGACACTTCATTTTTAATACTGTCAAATACCCTATTACATATTATCATCATCATCAGCTTAATAATCTCCCCACTGCTGGGGCACAGGCCTTCCCTATAGATGGAATAGATTGGGCCATGACACACCACGTGGGCCCAATGCGGATTTGCGGGTGCTAACGACTGCAGAAGCAGCCGGGACCAACGGCTTAACGTGCCTTTCGAAGCACGAGGGAGCTCGAGTTAGTAAATTTTTGGTCACCCATCCAATGACCGACAACTGCGAAAGTTGCTTAACTTCAACGATCGCAGCCAAAGGCGCAGATCACTTGCGCCATCAAGCTTCGCATTAAAATATCAAATCAAATCAAAATAGTTTTAAGTTTTTCGTATTACAACATAGTGTTTCGTTTATTTTCGAAAGCTTTTATAATAACTAGTCCGTCATCTTTTACGTTCCGCCATATTGGATTTAGAATGACGTCACTTCAAAATTTAGTTGCAAGATTCCACCCGAACAAACAAACAAACATACATACGCTGCAAGTTAAATAAAAGTTACGATTGTTATTTTTTTAGCATGTAACTGCTTGATGTTTAATTCTAAACTTTAGATTTAGTCATCAAGCAGTCACATGCTTAAAAAAATAAAAATCGTAACTATAATTGCTATTTCTTCTTTCAAATGTTTAATACTTGTAAAAGTATTCATTTGACATTGTGGGTTACCTACAATGCGAAGAGATGGCGCTGCCTTGCAGATTAAGAATGGCTAGAAGTATTTCGACGCGACAATCAGGGCTGCGGCAGCATTATTGGTCAGTGCATTCGCCCGGATAGCGAAGGGTGCGGATTCGAGTCCCGTCTGCTGCCTGGTCCGCGTGGAATTTTATCTAGTTATATTTTCTTTAAATAAAAGTTTTAGCATAACATAACTTTTTTTATAATCGAATATAATATCGTGTTGTTTTTGGCAAACTCTTGTATTGCAAGAACACCGGTTAATTGGCGTTGCCAAGATTATTTTGGTTCTTGAACTAGGGTAACATGCAATATATTTATAAACACACTAACGGCCCGCCCTCGCTTCGCTTCGGTGTAGAGCTGAAGTGTAGACTACAGTTTTTGTTCTCAGGCTTGTATTATACACAATGACATTCATCTATGATTCTTCTTATACTTGCATGCAAAGTCTCAGCCCGATCGGTTTAAAATTGACAAAGTTTCATGCAAACTTTCATTCCCTATTTTATCCCCTTGGGGGTAGAATTGATCAAAATCCTTTCTTACCGGATGCATACGTCATAACATCTACCTGCATACCAAATTTCAGCCCAATACGTCCAGTGGTTTGGGCTGTGCGTTGATAGATCACTATGTCAGTCAGTCACCTTTGAGTTTTATTTATATATAAGTGCAAGTGATTTTAAATGAACCTCAAAGTATGTTTTGTTTTCTCTGTGTTACCTTAAAGTCTGGGTGACAGTTGCCTCCACCTAAGAGAAGATAACGGCAAAATAACACTACATTATAATTTTGACGTGACAACGTCTTAAATTAGGTTGCGGCTGGGAGTCACTTATGAAAAAGTGTAACGCTCGGTAACGTTACGATGAGTTTAAGTTTACATGTACAATGTTTTAGTAAACAAAATATATTTCTATAGTTAAAATTTGTGCAATTCTTATTTTCATTCAATTCCTTGTTCCTATTGTGCAATTTAATTATATTCATATCAATAAATATTCTACCGAGAAAAAGACGTTGTCACGTAAAATCTTCGCCCGTAAAACCGACTTTACAGGCAACCATTTTTTTTCATATTAAGCATGTAACGGCTCGATGTCTAAATCTAAAGAAAATATTACTAGAAAAAAAACAACGAGGGCCAGGCAGCACACGGGACACGAATGCAGGGCTTGTTTACCGGTTAATTTTCGAACCTAAATCAGTGTCAAGTACATTAGGAGCGTTTTATTATGGATTGGCTCTACCTTAACCTTAAAAAAAACCGGTTTCCCTAAAAAGCGAAATCAAATAGGTTTTGAATCAATTTAGCGGTTTTAAAGGGTTTCATTTCGCTCTTACTGACTGCTGAAATAAATATACAACTACAAAATTCATTTGTCAATAAATACATCAATCTCTAAGCAATAACAAGTTGTGACTTGATTAGTTCAAACAAAACAAACTTCAAGCGATGCCGACGCGTGCACGTGTCGCTCTGGATTAAACCGGTTTATTAAGGTTTTAGGTACCGCTTTCATTTCGGACGCGCTCCGAACGAAACCTTTACTAAAAACCGGTATTAACCTTTATCTACCGGTATTTTGAAACCGGTTTCAAGCCCTGTTCGAATGTACACCCTTCGCTATCCGGGCTAAAGCACCGACCATTATGCTACCGCGGCCCTGATGGCCGTGTCGAATTCTTTGTAACCTTGCTTAACACATAGGCTACGATTAACTGCGGCAGAATATCCTTAATAAACACAGTTAGTATGTGATGTGATATAAATCAAAATCACTCACTCTGGACAGTAAAGTGGCTTCATCTGATTGGTGGATGTGAGAAGAGCTGTAAAAAAAGAGCTATAATGTAATATGAGCATGGTGAATCTTAATGATATATCACAGTCATTTAATTAATTGAACGCCTGCTGGACCCAGGGTTGCCACCCGTACTTTATTTATAAAGTATTGTACGTTATTTCGGGTAATTGTACTCTATACTTTATGCCAACAATAAAGTACGCGAAAAGACTTTATTAAATGTGATTTGATTACTTGGGGATTAATTTTACGTAAATATACAAAAAGTGGATAGGAAGAATTTTTGCGTAAAACGGAACAACAGTATGTATGTATGTATTAGTGATGTAACGAATATTCGCATTCGCAAAATCTCTGCGAATGTTTTGCGAATATGAATATTAGAAAAAAACACTTTGAAGAAGTTGTAGTTCTGCCTTTCCTTGAATATTCATTGTTACACAGTTTGCATTTAGCTCGTTCAGCATCGCAAACTGTGATTATTTCACAGTCCATGTTTCACTAGAATTCGATTTACTCATGTTAATAAATCACTATTACCACTCACAATCACTAACCTCAAAATTCAATTGTTTTGTTTACGGAAAGACCGGTGCGAGCGGAATGACACTTCAGTCGGATGAGTTCATATCAACTCGGCAATTCGAACGAGACTGCCACCATGAAATAGACAATTGGCGCCAATTTAAAAAAAAAACTAAAAATTCGCATTCGCATTCGCGAATGTCAGTACCAGTCATTCGCATCATCATTCGCGTTCGCGAATGTTCAAAAAATGTCATTCGTTACATCACTAGTATGCTTTGTACAATGGGCCTTTCCCATTGCGGATAAGAACTATTGATTTTTAGTAGCCGCAAATTATTGAAGTTATACTTCTTTAGCCGCGTTATGAAAAAATTATGAGAGTGAAATTTTCATCACTGTAACACAAAATTTTAACATAATGAAGTTAGCCGCGGGCGCGTTATTTGTAATATTTTATTTTCCAAGTGACCGAGGGGCAGATTTGAACAAAGCAAACAGGGCAGATTTGAACGGGACATTGAAATGAAATGAAATGAAATGATATGAAATGATATGAAATGATATGAAATGATATGAAATGAAATGAAATGACTTTTATTCAGTCTAGGCTGTTACAAGCACTTGTGAAGGTCAAGAACACAACGTGTTTTAGTTACTTACAAGTGCTAATTACATATGGACTAATAACTTAAATTCAGTAGTGATTTTAATTGAATATTTTGAATATTTATTTAATTTTTCAAATTAAAACTGAACTTAATTGACTGTGTTAACTATCCTTTTCCAGTCCTCTTATTATTTTATTATAATTATTAATTATTTGCATGCAATTAAAAAATATTTTAATGATGCTAAAGAAGTATAACTTCTCACGCGCGTACATAAGTTACACGCATCCATTTTTTATTAAAAGTTGCTATAAGCAGCGTAAAAAATATTTTTAAGCTTACCTTCTAATAAAGTGGAATAAAGTACTTTATTTTGGACACAATCTACTTTTTTTTCTACCTTTAATATTCAATGTACTTTATTTGGTCGTAAAAAAGGTGGCTACCCTAGCTGGACCGTACATTAAGAGCGGACGCGAGCTGCGAGACATTTGAGAAATAGGTATTTGAAAAAACTATTGCTGTCACGCATTGGCAAATACCGTGTGATAGGGACAACAGTAGTTAACTCTGAAAATTGCGTATAATGGTAGCCATACACACAAGGGCGGATCCAGGGGGGGGGGTCATGACCTTTCTAGTTTCTTCGAAACACAAGCTATCGAAAAAAGTAAGACATAGGAGCAATAGAATGAGTAAAATCATATTTTATGTATGAAAATAAATTCTTTAGTGATAACAATCAAGAGAGGAATCAGCCGAGAATGTTTGTATGGAAAACAAATTGCCCGCCTCCCCTCTTAAATCGGTATCCAATAAAATTAGATCATAAAATTGTTTCAACATTGGATTTTGGTAATTTAGAAATTGTATTGCAGAGTACAGGCAGTCCTCGAATTACGTCGTTTCGATTTACGTCGTTTCAAGTTACGTCCAACAATGTTTTGACACTATTACTCAAGCATACGTCAATTGTTTCGATTTGCGGCATAGGAGAATTCACTTATCGCGAGGTCAATGTCAGTGGGGCCGACGTCCGTGGGGATGTCTCGACTTATGTCGTCTCGACTCACGTCGCGTATTTCGAGAACTTAACATGCCGTAAGTACGAGGACTGCCTGTACTCATTTAATAGACTAATGATGAATTATCAATTACTCACCAGGTTGTGGCAGAATTGGTTTGTGGACCACAACTGGACTGCTGTCGGTCTTCGGAGCGACACTGAAACAAATAATACACGTGAATTTTAGTTTTTACTTGAACTTCAGAGATCTATTACACCCCTCACGATGTCAAGAGTAAGTGGAGCCCAGGCGCCTAGATAGCTCTGTAGCATGGGCAATGCTGTTTATCATTTTATCGCGTTTAACTGGCAAAATCCATAGTAATTTGACAATTGATTATAAGAGAGAAAAACGAGCTAAAAGTCGCGGCCAACAATATTAAATACCCTAGATACACCACGAGCGCTCAAAATGTGTCCCAATCAAGAAGTGCTTGAACTCCACTTCTTGGTTCACAGTCACGCAAAAGTGTCGTTGTTTCGACAGGTATCTAGTCAACGTTTGTTTATTTAACGCATTTGAAATTTTGATCTAATACTTACTATAAACTGATTTAATATAAAAATATTTGTGATATTCAAATGCATGGTCGGTTATACGTCGCCATATAGCCGTCTCTTTTCCTCGCGGTCCGTGCCTGCTATATTGCTAACAGCGCGTTCAGAATTGCGCGTAGAGTCAAAGAACTTGGGTCTAAATTCGTCCACATATAGCAATAAGTCATAAAATTTTACGAGCTTGCATTTCGAACTGTCAGAAGTCCTTGACGCATGCGTTTTATTAAAGACCTTATATAGTATGTATTAAAGGTTACTTTCAATATTTAAATAATGCCTTATATTGATTTTGACTACGCGATCATCTTACGGAGCTTCGTGGATCGTTCAATGTACCTTTTGGGCAGGTTTCGGACACGATTTTGTTCGTGTTGATGTATCTAGGGTATTTAATATTGTTAGTCGCGGCACGTAACTCAAGCGCTGAACAAAACGCGTCAGGGATAGCTGCGCATGGGTACGACTGGAGAGCCAATCGGCGCAACGCACGCCCATCCGCGCACCTCGTTTACCCCCAACACATCTTAATTTTTACTTCTGCGATATAACAGTCAGCGCTAGATTTTCGTGTATCATCTCGCAGTGCTCATGCTAGCACAACACTTGGTGGCATATAATACCGGCACTACGCATGCTATTCGTGTTTGCTATTTGTAAACTTGACATCAGTCTGTCCTTCTCATTCCTTATAAAGCATGATAAAGACAAGACTGGTGTAGAGTTTACAAATAGCAAATACGAATAGCCAAGTGAAGTACACAGCATAAGACGAGGGCAATACAGAAAAGACGTAAGTCGAGGCGCGGACATTACGTCTCTTCCGCGTCCTGTATATACAAAATGTATAGAAGAGTCGCGTCGCAAACATAATAGAAAGGGGCCAGGGCGCGGATACGACGCTCCTTTATTTTTATTTCATGTTAAAAGAGTGGCAAACAAGCACATGACCCTCCTGATGTAACGATATTAAAAACCCTAGATACACCACGTACGCAAGAAGTGCTTGAATAACACTCGAGCACTTCTTGGTACACAGTCACGCGCGGACATACTAATAATAAAAAACTTTATTTGCAATTATGTACTTTGTTCAGAACAATGTAAAAAGTTAATAACTACATTAGTCAGAGACTGTGTCGCAGTTATTAGCGCCCCACCTCGAACATGATAACTAGAACCAATAAACACTAAAAATACTAATGTTTACATCTATAAATACTTGGCGTTGTGCGTGCGTGCGTGCGTGTGTGTCTGACTTTATTTAAGACTTCTATTAGTATTATGACTTATATTAGGGTGAAGCCAAACGAGCGTAATTTTGTGAGTTGTGAGTCGCTTATTTTTGGTCACTTATTTTACGTTCAACTGAATTTCTGTTGAGCTGCCATACGAACGTAATTTATTCGGTTACTATTGAGCGTTAGTACGGGGTGTTCGTGTCGTCGAGTGCAATGGATCCATTAAAAATATTGTGTATTTACGAAGCATATTCGGAAGATGAGGCCAGAAAAAAGAAACTGGGTAAACCCATTGAATAGTAAGAGGCTGATATGTGGACAGTTCCATACTTCATATGAACGTTTATGTGCAAATCCAGATATGTTTGAAAAGTACTATCATATGCCATTACGTGTTTTTCAAGAATTATTACACCACGCAACTTGTAACAAACTGTTGCTTCCCCACTCCCCTTCCTTGCCCTACCCTCACCCCGACCGAAATTTGGACGAGCTTATGCGCATTGAGTCGGCAGACAACTCATTTTGCGTTGTCGTGTGGCACCAACTGCCTTTTTGTATGAAACCGAATGCAGCAGAAATTCTGCGACCGAAATTTTGCGACTCACCACTCACAAAATTACGCTCGTTTGGCCTCACCCTTAAGTATTCGGTATTCGGCCGAATAATATGTAGATATTCGGTATTCGGCCGAATATAATAAAAGCAGCCGAATAGGCCGAATACCGAATAGTAACCGAATATTCGTTGCAAGTCTAAATAAAACTGATGATAAGTCAATATCTAATCAACATTGATACTAAAATTGACAACAACACTAAGATAACTCTAGTGCTGATTCGAATTCCAAGGTTGATGTGACTACAATTTAGATAAACACGAATGGAGGCCAGAAATACTATGAAAATGACAGATTTTATTGATTATATATATACTTGACAACCTCTGTCTGTGGTTTGTATAAGTTTCCGTTGCATCGTGGTTGCATTAAACCATTTTTTTATCAATAGTCTCATTGACTAATAAACAATGTAAGGTCCTAAACATTTGATAATGGCGTCTTAAAAGATATAGGAATAAAATTGACGACCTCCGTGGTCGAGTGGTTCGTACGCCGGGTTTCATGGTGTCGCCGACTCTTAGAGGTCCTTGGTTCGAATCCCGTTGGGGCCAGATGTTTGTGTGATGAATACGAGCATTTGTACTCCAGGCATGGATGTTCGATATGTATTTCTATATTAATAAATTTATAAATGTGCAGTATTTATAATCTATCTGTTACCCTAGTATCCCATAACACAAGCCTTACAGTGGTATCGATTCTAGCATAATTATCTAAACTTAAAACTAAATTTAAGATCAGTCTCTCCTTTTCATTTTGTATGGAGAATGGCAAGGATACACTGGTGTCGAATCTGGCACGATTCTCTAAATCTAAACTTAAATTTGACAACGACGTGTGGCGGCGTTTTGTATCGGCGCATTAAAGTGGCCGGTGCGGGCCACAAGAAGCGGGTAACGACGATTTGAAGTGTGTGGCGGCCACCGGCGTACCGTGTGGAAATATGCCGGTGGCGGCGTTTTGTGGTTGTAGTCGGCGGCCCGTGTGCGGCGACACTTAGGCTACTAGAGAATAAAAGAGTGAGCAATGTTGGATAAAATATCCCAATACCCTTCTTTAGTTAAACAAATAATATGCATTAAAGTTTTTGTTATTTTTGTCTCCATCTTATACTCTCCAAAGAGAGAAACTGGTGTCGATTCTCCAAACTTACAACTAAATTTAACATCAGTTTCTCCTTTTCATTACATATAGAGATTAACATGGGTACATTTAAGTCATATTTAAGTTAAGGTTTAGAGAATCATGCCAGAATCGACAACTGTATAACTAATAAAAGTTTTCCCTTACAAGTAGGAAATCTATACAGGAAACTCAGTATGGTATTTCATATTAAAATCTTAATATTCTTCAATTTCTCATACTGTACTAATCCACACAGGTCACTAGTAGTATATAATACCAGCTGTGCCCCGCAGTGTTACCCGCTGTTTATTAGGGATATCTTAATGCAGTAAAACATAGCCTGTGTTAATCCAGGGTGTCGGCTAACTCCGTACCAAATTTTATTAAAATCGCTCCAGCCGTTAAGACATGAAGAAGTAACAAACATACGCACTCACAAACTTTCACCTCTATAATATTAGTGTGACTACTCATGACAACCAAGTGCTGGAAAGTTTTAAAAGGTCTAAAGTTATCCCCAGATTGCAAAATAGGCATTGTTTAGAACAGTGGTTTCTAATTGGTGGTCCACAGACCAATTATGGTCCCTGAAGAACCCAAAGTATGAGGCCATTTGAAAAAATATTACATAAGAACCAGTCTTATTAATATTAAGAGTCACTGGTTTATATGAATTATACTTCAGTAAGGTTTCCCTGATCCCCTCAAGGTTCAGAAATTGGATTAAGACCAGCAAAGTGAAGTTGGATGTCAGCAATGCAGCTACCTCTAGCTATCAATTTCACATTATAGTTTCGTACGAGATACGAGTCGAGATTAGTACGAGATTTCTGGTCTTCTGAATAAGTTACGAGAAAACTACTCATATGTATAAGATTTTGTTAGATAAATTCTGCATTATCCCCATCTAAGGAGATAATCGCTGCAGATGAAGCTTGTAAGGCCCTTCAGGCCATAAGCATATACTACGGTTGCGTTTTAGTCAGTAGGAGTCTGACATAACCTTGCAGCCGGCTGTAGGGTATCCATGAGGATTTCACACCCGCTCCCCGGCTGGGAGGAGTAAAATAAAATTTATAAATTTATGAAATGATTTTTTATTGAAGGCAACATGTTGGAGCATATAAACCGTAAGCATCCAAACCATCGCTCTGCTTATTATAATTTTTATTTTAAGGTAGAAGTTTGAATCTAAAGAAAAATTGTTATATTTAGTTGACCTGTTGGACTATATATTTACTGATTCTAGGGGGGGGAGGGCTGCAAATTGTGTGCGAGATTCTAAAGCCAGATTACAATATGTTTTTGTTAAATTCTGAAAATATATAATATAAACATTCTATGGTTGGCAATGCTGTTTTGCATTAATTATCAGAAGGAGTGCAATTAAAAGCTATACTTTTGCAAACTAATGTTTGGGTGGCAGGGATCATCACTGTGATTTTTTATAGATAATATATTTCTCACATTCTCTTGAAAAAGTATTGTCAAAAACTTGTTTGTAACTCAAACAGGATATTTGTAACTCAAAAGGACATTTATAGTATAGTTATAGAGTTAGTTAAGATATACTGTACTTCCTGGGTAGATGTTGGTAGTGTCCCACTACCATACA